GGGAAGTAGAACGAAACAAGTGCACCCAAACACTCTTAAGCGAGAGTAATCAGGAGGTCGAGAAAACAAAGTCTGATATGGTGAAGTTTGCCCCAAAACCGAAGTAATTTGCCGGTTTATGAGATAAACCACCGTATGAACTGCCTCCACCCAGTAACCACTAGGAACATTTGAGTGGAACAACAAAGCTCGCGTGAGTTCAAGAACATGTCTGTTCTTTCGTTCTACCAGTCCATTTTGCTGAGATACTCCTGGACAAGAGAGCTGAGATAGAATACCTTCCCACTTATAGAAATCAAGCAGCTCGTGCTTAACAAACTCCCCTCTTGTATCCGATCGAATAACCTCAACTGTCTTACCAAATTGAGTTTTAATAAGCTGCACAGATTCCTTAGCCAATGAACACAACTCGGATTTCCGACGGAGAAATAAAACCCAAGCATACCGTATCTTGTTATTGATGAACAAGGCAAAATATCTATACCCCATGCGAGATGTTACTGGAGAAGGACCCCATAGATCAGTATGAACTAAATCGAAAGGTTCTTCATAGACAGTATCACTCGACGCAAAAGAATTCTGTGAAGCTTTAGCTTCAATACAACTCAAACAATCCGACCGAGAACCAATAGAGTGATCAAGTTTCCCAGGTAATAAATTTTTTCGAAACATGGTCATAAGTCTAGCCGAATTGGGATGACCCAACCGGCAATGCCTCAAATCCCATACTGAAACATTCTTTGACAAATCCAAACCAACTGAATTAACTGATAAATCAGAAATATTCTTGGATGCTAAAATTGTACTAGATGGCACCCGAGCCGCCGCGGACGTAGGAGAGTGACCATGCAGATCATGCAAACTTCCCAACTTCTCAACAGCACCCTTCAACTTCAGTTCATCTAGCACAAACAGTTGACCCTGCTTACTTCCCTTCCCTATCACCTTCCCCATCGTCTTGTCCTGAACCACACAACCGTTGGAGTTAAACGTAACATTGCAACCATCCTCGGTTAATTGTCCAACTGAAACCAAATTAGAAAGTAATTCAGGAACATATAAGGTATCCGGAAGAGTAATAGCATGAGACGATGCAATGCCTTGACCCTTAACAGAGACTTGATCACCATTAGCTACCCGTAAGTTCATATGAGGAGCAAATTTCAGTTTAGCAAAGATAGAACGTACATGGGACATATGATTAAAGGCTGCCGAGTCAATCAGCCATTTAGGAGACTTACCTGATGCTGCTCTCGTAGCAAACGCTGATGTCAAGGCCTCTTGTAAGGCCTCTTGCACCATCTTACGGACCATATCCGGATTAAGAGCCGGGTTCCCATGACTTCCCGAGGAAGAGTCGCCCGAAGCACTTGGAGCTGAAGCAACAACATAGGCCAAGCCGCGGGAAGGAGCAACGAGTAGTCGAAGAACCGCCCCGAGGAAGACCCATAGTTGGGATAACGAACCTTCCCTTTCTTGGTCAGCGGATGACACTCGAGAACGATGTGACCGGGCTTCTTGCAATAGTTGAAATAATTACGCTTTTGCAATGAATCTGAACATGACCCGGTTCATGACAAAAATGATAGACGACATATCCCGAGTTTTGTTGACCAAATTGAGGGCGAGTAGAGTTACCGGAGCGGCCAACAGCAAATGCAGACTCCGAAGACCCATGATCAATATGTGCCTGACTCTTAAGGCGAGTTTCCTCTTGAATCAACTCAGCCACCACTGCATCAAGATCAGTAATACCCCGATGAATCAAGGATGCCCGAATTGGTTCAAAATCATATCGCGATTTCATCAAAAATTGCATAGCCCGTGTCCGACTTCGTTCCTTCTGCATCTCTGTAGAGGCTTCCCCAGTTAACAAAGAAGTCGTAACAATATCAAATTCAGTCCAAATGTGCATACAATGCTTATAGTAGCTGCGCACGTCTTTACCCCCTGAGCAAGAGCCGCCATCTCCAATTCCAATTCATACAAGCAGGATGTATTAGCTTGGAAATACGTACCACAAAGATGTTGCCACATCTCATGAGCGGTCGCAAAACGACGTAAGCTCAGCGCCGTCTGAACGTCCACGGAAGCTAGGATCGCCATCACGACCTGCGTGTTGCAAGCCTCCCATTGCACCTTCTCTTGCGGCATAGCATCCGCACCAGGTTGTTTCTCTTCCCCCATCAACATAGAGGTCAACATCTTACCAACAATAAAGTTCCAGAATTGGAACTCCCATAATGGGAAGTTGCTCCCATCAAATCTCGTTGCAACCGTATCCATCTTAGTGGAGTCCATCGTCACAAGAGATACCAAAGCAAACCTGATATGTGATCACCAAATGCGCACGTAAACCTAGAGGAGCTGCCGCCGATCCTTTAACCAGAAAACCTAGAGAACAGCCATCGCCGAACCAAAGCTGATTCTCGAACAGATTGCGCCAAGATCACCGATCGAGAGTGAACACGAAACCTTTGGATCATATAGGCTCTAATACCATGTCAAACTAAACGAAAGAACAAGAACACAAGGTTTAACGTGGTTTCCCTGATTGTCAGGACTAGTCCACGGGAGAGCCTAAACCCTCCAAAATCAATCGTATTAGATGCAGAAGCAGGTTTACACGGGTCATTATATAGAGGTTTACATACCATTGGCGGAGCTAGGTTAAGGGTTGTGGGGTCCATGGACCCCACTTGGAAAATGAATATATTTTAAGAACGGTGAATTTTTAAGATGGGGTTAGTAAATTTAGAACCACAGACCCCCTCTTTGCGAGACAATGATTTTACTATCGAATATTTGTTTATGTTTGGACCCCACTAAATTATATCTCTGGCTACGCCAATGTTACATACAAACCCTAATGACTAAGGCATGTACAATTACACAATGGTACCTAAACTTTAACTAGAGTAGCAAGCAAAATCCCTTATTTCATTCCAAGAAATACCTTATATTTTTATATTATGCCTTGTATTTTGGCTTCGATACAATGAATGTATAATCTTTGTCAATATTGAGAGATTTTATTTAGGTGGCGTGTAAGAGAATACGAGTATATTACAACAATAACTAAGTACGTACATCGATCTTATATATATATATATCTGCATACCTTTAATGTTGAGGAAGGTATTAAGGTAGCTTTTTTATAATCTTGTCTAGTTATCATTACTTCAAAGATGGATATTGTTATGAAATCCAGTAAACATACATGTATAGCTTTACCCTCGAATCAAGCTATAGCTAAAAGGATGAATATGTGGTGATCAAAATGTTGACCACGTCTATAATAAAATATATTAATTAATTTCATAATTTGATCGATCACAATTTATCGAATATCTCATTGCCAATTTGCCATGGGAAAAGGTAGTGTCTTTCATAGATGAGGGCTCTTCCCCTACATAATAAGTGATTAATTAAATAAATTATCCTAGGGTAAAGGGGTTAGAATTTATCATTAGGGTTGTCTACCTAGCTACCTGCCCTGCCCTCATTGCCGAAGAATATCCAATTTTGTTTTTGGGTGTGGATATATATATATAACTATGTATCCAATCAATTAATGTAAAGGCAAGTGCAAGCTTAGTCCTAAAGAATGGCTCTTAATTAACTAGCTACTAGGAGGGCCTTGGGATTATACAAATTTAAGAGAGGGAAATCCCATCCCAAGGAAGGTTTGATTGATGGCCTCCTCGAAGACTTAAAAAGGAAACGTAAAATTTCAATGGTAAAGACTAAAGTCAGGAACTGAGGAAAGTAGTAGTAAGAAGTAAGAACATCCATCCCATTATATATGGAGCCTAATCGATCGCATTCTGTGGAGCTCGATCGTTTCCTTCGAGAAATACCCTCACTATGTATATATGATTATATTCTATGCCGTATTTTTAGGTGGGGGATTTCAACTTCAAGGAAGCAAAGGAGCCGATTTCTTCTTCTAATTTGCGCCATCAATGGTATTGAGCGTGCAACAAACAAGCAAAGGCGCCATTCACGCAAGCAGATCGCTTAATTAATACCATTATTATTTGATTAATTAATTCGCACAAGTTGAGGTTAATTATTATAATTATCATATAATATGGACTAAATAAGACCCGACATGCATGCCCTGACTGACTGACTGACTGACACATTAATTAGCTAGGCAGGAATTTTGTTCAGTTTTCGCCAGTAATTAATTGTCTTTACAAAGAGTATCGTGAAATGATGAGACTGACTGACAGCCAACAATATTATTATGCATTATCATTCATTCCGCTCAATACACAGATCGACCATAATAAGCTTTGATTGATTTCAAGCGGATGGAAAAGGTGATCGATCGATGGAATGTGTTAAAAAAAAAAAGGGTTACGTTGGAAGGAATTGCAGGATCGGGTCGGGGCTGAACACAACAGATCATGAGGGAAAGCAGCATATGCATATATAACCACTAGCACTAGCTTGCTTGCTTTCACTTTTTGCTTTTTGGGGTTTTGAGTTAAGATGAGTGATTTCAGCATGTTGATGGCTCTTATTATAGTTAATGACAACATACATATATCTCTCTAATGTCGTGCTCTGATCCAGAGATCTTAATTAATTGTAACCATTTTCCATTCCATTTCTTGCCCTTTCTTTGTTTTTCTTAGCCGATATTTATCTGTATATGAAAATTTAAATCAACATAGCACTACGATAAGTATCATATGACACGTACATCTTTATCTTTTTTTTTTTTATCAAAAGATGGGACGCTAAAAGGGCGTCCCTGCCTGGCACATTAAATTAAACGCGATTGGGCAATGCCCAAGGTATCATACAGGATCCAGAAATTAAGACCCGGATCAGAAATATCAAAGTCATGAAAACCAAAACTAGCGCTATGCGCTCTACCGGCGAGAAAGTCCGCCACCTTATTACATTCTCTGTAAATATGAGAGATTTTGATCTCCCAGTCTTTTTGGAGGAGGTGCCCAACCTGAGTGGCAAGGTTGTAGAATCTATCATTGCTGTGATCCTTTGCCGTGAAGAAAAGATAAGTCGTCATGGAGTCCACCTGGAGATGAACTTTCCGATAGCCTCTGGACCAAGCCATTTGGAGCCCTTGAATAGCTCCTTTGATTTCCGCTCTGGTCACTGTACTCACTCCCAAATTTCCCACGAATGCTGCAAGGCATCTGCCTGAATTGTCCCTGATGAGGCCTCCAGCTGCAGCAAGTGAGTCTGGCTGGCGAACCGATCCGTCCGTGTTAACAGTAACCCATCCGTCTGCAGGTGGCTCCCAGGCAAGGTCAGCTCGCGATTTCTTCTGCGGTGGAGCATGGAGTTTGGCGTCGTTCTCCTGGGCCAGCTTAATGGTGCTGGTCCAGCTCTGGATACGATACGCCAACATCGAGGCCTTTTGGAACTGCTTCTCGAAGACCCACTCATTGCGTCTCTTCCACAGGTACCACGCAGCTACACCAAAGATGGCGCCTGTCTTCTCCTCTTTCAGATGCTTCGACATCCACTCTGCAAAACCCAAACCACAGGTCAGAGTAGTCTCCCCTATTCCAAGTTTCTGCCATACCTCTTTCGCCTCTGGGCAGTCGCGGATGATGTGTTCCGTAGTCTCGGCTGCCTGCTTGCACATGTCGCAAATGTCGTTGGTACAGAGCTTCCTCCTCTTTCTTTCGCTGTTGGTCAGCAGGCGATCATGGGCAGCAAGCCAGAGGAAATGCTTGATACGGTTGGGCCCCTGCCATTTCCAAATGTGTTTCCAGTGTGACCGTTCCCCATTGACAGTCTCCTCATCTTGAATATCTTCTAGCCATTCCGCAGCAGCAGTGTAGGCAGAGCTAAGCTGAAAACGCCCATTTTTTCCCTCCCCCATAGAGTGACATCTTCTCCCAGCTCCAGGCGAGGAGCTTCCATACCTGCGATAACAGGGATAGCACTGTTAATAACCAGAGGTGAAATTTTTTGCCAATCCCACTCACCTGTGTCCGTGGCCATGTCAGCCACTGAGGCATTCCAGTCAATATCCTGGTCCGCCACAGCGATAAAGTCCTTAAGAGTAATCCCATCAGCTAGCCATTGGTCGTGCCAGAAGTTGATGCTACGACCGTTCCGCACATCCCAGACTGTCTCTTGTTTCATCAGCGGTAAGGCCTTACGAATACCCTGCCAGAGCCGAGAGGTCGCCTTGGACAGGAAGGTAGTGGTACCCCTGGCATCTTGGCGGACATACTTCCCTTGAACCACTTTCACCCACAAATCATTTTCATTATTCAAGAAAGACCAGCCAAGTTTCATTAGATACGCGAGGTTAAGGGCTCGGGCAGAACGGAGACCCAGCCCCCCATCGTCTTTGGACCTGCAGATGGTTTCCCACTTCACCAGATGCACTTTAGCCTGCCCTTCCTCGCCTCCCCAAACAAATCTACGGATTTTCTTATCAATGACATCACAAACGGACATCGGAAGCACTGCCGTTTGCATAACATAATTCGGGAGGGCGTTGAGGACTGAAACGGCTAGAGTGACACGACCTGCAAGGGATAAGTTCCGAACTTTCCAACCAGAGAGCCGTTTGTCCAAGTTCTCGATGATGTATTTGTAGGTGTCCTTTGTGACCCGGCCGTGTATCACAGGGACACCGAGGTACTTCCCAAGGCAAGTTGTGATCGGAATCTCCATCATCCTGCTGATTCTGCTCTTGATGTTGCTACTGGTGTTCTTAGAGAAGAAAATACATGATTTCTCTTTGCTGATCTTCTCGCCTGAGGCCTCACAAAAGCGATTAAGGCAATCCATAATAACTTTCCCTTGTCCCAGGTCAGCTTCAGCCAGCAAGACCAGGTCATCTGCAAAAAACAAATGCGTAAGAGGAGGCCCATTCTTAGATAACAAGATAGGTTTCCAATCACCCTTAGCAACAACATCCTTAATGCAGTGATTTAATCTCTCAATACACAAAGTGAAAAGATAAGGAGAGAGAGGGCATCCCTGTCGAAGGCTGCGGGAGGGTTGAAACTCTTCAGTGCAGCTGCCGTTCCAGAGGATTTGGAACCTAGTAGTAGTCACACAAGCCATCACAATGTTGATGAAGTCCCCAGGCAGATTCGCAGCTTCAAGAGTGGCTCTTAAGAAGGGCCAATTAACTCTGTCGTAGGCCTTAGCGAGGTCTATCTTAAGGACCATCCACCCCCGTTTCCCTTTCCTCAGAGACATCGAATGGATTACCTCTTGAAGAATGATTATATTATCAGTAATATGGCGTTTGGGGACGAAGCTGGTCTGATTTTCCTCCACCAGACTAGGCATGAGTTTTTTAAGACGATTGGCCAAACATTTGGCAATCGCCTTATAGCTCACATTACACAAGCCGATCGGTCTGAATTGAGCCATGGATCTAGGGCTGTCCACCTTGGGCAGCAGAGCCAACAAGGTAGAGTTACACTGCTTAATCCGGGTCGGGTCTTGGAAACAGGAGACAAGGAATTGCTGGAAGTCTTCTTTGATTGTGTCCCAGCATTTCTGATAGAACACAGCATGGAAACCGTCCTTCCCAGGCGCCTTGAGCCCTCCCATATTCTTGATCACTTCATACGTTTCCATAGCATCAGGAAGGGCAGCAAGCTTGTTGATATCTGCATCCTCCAAAAGATCAAAGCTGGCCGGTAAACTGATAGTAGCCCCCTCAACTCCAGAGAACAGATCCATGTAGAAGTCCCTCGCCATTTTTTCCAGGGTATCCGGATCTTCAATCCAAGAGCCATCCTCAGCTTGAAGTCTTAGGATCTTATTTCTTCTTCGCCTAGCAAGGGCAGACAAGTGGAAATATCTCGTATTCCTATCCCCATTGACAATCGAGTTGGACCGAGCTTTTTGCATCCAGAGAAGTTCTTCTTGCCAAAGAGTCTGCTCCAATTCCTGCCTTATCCTGTCTTCTTCAGCAATGGACCCCATGGAAGGGCTCATATCATTTTTGGACTCCAAGTCACTGAGTCTTTTATTGAGAACCTTCTTCCTTTGAATAATGTTGCCAAAAACTTCCCTGTTCCAGGTGCAGAGCTTGATTTGCAGCTCTTGGAGAGAGGACAGAAAATTAACTCCCTGCTTCCAAGAGTTTCGGACAGTGTGCTGGAAGTCTTCGTGGGCTAGCCAAGGGGCCAAGAAACGGAAAGGCCTCACTTTCCTAGATGACTGGGAGGGCTTATTACGGACGAGGATCGGTCTGTGGTCTGACCGGAGACGTGGGAGATGAGAGTTGATGGTGTCCGGGTACATCTCCAACCATTCCTGATTGCATAAGCCTCGATCGAGTCTTTGAGAGAGACGGCCATTAGTCCAAGTGAAGCAAGGCCCAGAGTAGCCACAGTCGATCAGATTACAATCCTCGATACAAGAGTTGAAATGCTGGGTACGCTGATCGTTAAAAGGAGCACCTCCCCGTCTTTCCGAAGGCCTACGGATAGAGTTGAAATCTCCCACAAGGATCCAAGGTCTGGTCTCCCCTGCTGCCAATCCGCGCAACGCATTCCACAGCGGAAGTCTCTCTTGGTCTTTGGGTTTGGCATAAACCGCAGTTAAGATCACCTCCTCCCTATCCTGCAAATCAAAACAACGCAAATGTAAGAATTGGGTATTACTATCCAGGAGAGAAATGGAGAACTTGGCTTCATCCCAAAGAACCCAAATCCCTCCTGAGAAACCTACAGCATCAACAATCTCGTGCTTGTCGAAACCAAGAGAAGAAATGACATTCAAAGCCTCCCTGCCACTAATCCTGGGTTCGACAAGGATAACAATGTTCGGACTATAACGTCTAATGTAATCAGAAAAAATAGCATGAAACTCGGGGCTTTTGGCCCCTCTGCAATTCCAACAAAATATACTAATCATTGGAAAAAAGAGAGGGTTAGGAAAGCTGGGTAGACGAGCCAACGTCATCCAGCGAGGGAAGACGAGGAGTGAGGTTCCATCCCCGCGTTCTCCATCTCAAGAGAGCCCTGGTCGATCCCTTCCCGCATCGGAGTGTCGCTGCTAGTTCCCATGGCGAGCTTCTGGAATTCCTCCTCCTTCTGTCGAGTCTGGGTAATAAACTCTTCGATGGACTGAGGAGTAATCCCGAAATTGGCCGCTTTCCCATTCTTGGTAGAGGATCTTTTGCTGTTCTTGTTGCCCAGGGAATTCTTCATCGTGTTTTGTTGGGCTAATTTGGAGAGATGCTCTTTCGAAGGGGAAAGAACTCTGTTCTTCTTGCTGTAGTGCTGTCGGACAGAGACGGTTCCCAGATTAGGGTCAGAGTTCTCGTTGTTGACCTTCTCTAAACGGTTCGGGCTGGAAATCAACGGGAGTTGTCTTCCAGAATCCACTTCCAGGTCCGTCTTTGGGCTGGCTATGATTTGGCCCATTAACGCGCTCTTATCCACCGTCTGGTTAATGGTTTGGGCCATAGATCCAGAAGCATCTTTCAACGGCCCAACAGCCCGCCATTCTAGACTAGTGGAGTCTTTCGGGCCTTCTGAGCTTGAGGCCTTCCCCGCTTCCTTCACTTTCCCTTTCTGCTGAGCTTTACTTTCTTTTTTTTGGTCCTGCACCATCACCGATTTTCCTTTTCTTTCCTGGCCGTTGGGGCGGACCTTGCTTTCCGCTTTGTGTGAGGAATTCTTGCTATGCGGACGCCGCCCTTGATTGCCGCCTTTAGCAGAGTTGCTATTCTGATTCCTTTCCAAATCATCCGGATTTGAGTTGCCTTTTTTGTTTACTTTCCTGTTTTTCTTCACAACCTGCATCCAAGGCCCGTAACCGGCGTGGGTCTCCGGCGTTGGGCTCGCCGGCGGAATAACCATGTGAGTTTGAGTTTCACCTGTAGAAACCGGGACCATTGCCGTTGACTTCTTAGGACACGCCTCTTCTGTGTGTCCGATTCGACCACAGTCGTAGCAAATGTGAGGAAGATTTTCATAGACCACTGGTTGCCACTGCCCATCCAATCGGATTCTAGTCGCCAGGGGTTTTGTCATATCAAGTTCGACTGCAATTCTTGCGAACTTCCCCCTCAGAAGGTTCTCTGTATGATAATCAAGCTTGACCGTCCTTCCCAGGAGGTTACCCAAGGCGAAAAGGACCTCCCTATGGTAGAAGTGCGCCGGTAACTCAGGTAACTGAATCCACGCAACAACCGACCTATGGGGTTTATCGGAGGTTCTGAAAGCTGGAGACCATTGATGGACAACCAAATAGTGATCCAAGATCTCCCAAGGGCCGCCCGTCAGAGCATTGAGGTAGTCCTGATCGTTACTAAAGGTCGCCAGAAACGTATCATTGTTTAGGTCCAATAGGTCCAGAGATCCCGTAGGCCGCCATTTCCATCGGAGTTGGGCACATAGATATGTGTAGGACACCGATCTGCCCAGCAGCCTAACTACAAGGGTCTTCTTCCATGGCACGCAAAGTCTTTCTTTGAAGGCTTCAGAGATCTTCAGTTCTGGTTCCCCGTCAAACGATCCCGTTACCAGATCCTGTTCACCTACGAAGGTCCACTGATTCGCCCTAGTTTTTGCCTCTTGGGAATGGCCGGCCAGCGCTGCTCTGTAGTTGAGGACGGGAAACGCTGCAGGGTTGGCCAGGGGGGACGGAAAGCTGCTTGGCTGTTGTTGACCAGTGTCCGGCGGACGCCCTGTCTGCGAGAAGGGTTGCGCCGGCGCCTTGTCGGAGAGCGAAGTTTCAGAGAGCATATTCAGAGCTGGGTTGCGCCGGTTATCTACCATATGGATATAGAGTATCAATTAATAATTCAAAGTAATTTGAGCATGAGAAAGAGGTATTGAAATGAAATCACAAATATTAATGTTAGAACTCGATACTAGCTAGCTAATGAGGTTATAATGGATAAAACTTATGGTATTCAAAATACTAATACGATAAGTAGCACGAGATTCATTGATCGACAAAAATAGGGAAAACAAATTATTCGAGAACATAATAAGAATAGTACGGGCAAAAAGATATACATATATGGTAGGTACTTTTGGTGTTCTAACATGATGCATGGCGTCATATGCACACAAATTTACAACCAAATGAATTTACATAATCCCGATTTGTCAATAAGAAGAGAATTTATATGAGCGGCGTGAAATTGAATAATATTTTCAGCGTCCAACACCGAAATTGACTTGCAATGTTGTATAAGTCAAACTTTATATAGTTTCTTAATTTTACCTGAAAAATGACATAGATGTGTGTACCTGTTTTGAGCTTTTCAAATTCTCAAAACAGTTAAGTTTGTTAATCTGTTTGGCCCTAAAGTGACACCCAAAATGTCTTATATATGACCAAAACAATAACAAGTCCAAGTTAGGCTGAATTGATTATTTTGTGGGTCTCTCATTTCAAACAGAAACATTATTCTAGCTTGATTTATGGGGCAAAATCAACACATTCTCTTTGGTCAAACTCAATTACCAACTTTAGATCAAAGTAATACCTATAGCAAAAGCCATAATTTGCGCCATGCATGGCTGAGATGATGAAGGTGATAAACAAAATGAAAATTTGAAGAAGAGAAAATGGAATAATTAATTAATATTAAACAAAAGGGAAAGTCCCCTCTTTTCTCTATATAAGCCCCATAGTTGAACCCAAAAACCCAACAAGAGCAATACAACAACATCATTCTTACATCTTTGAGAAGTTGCTAGCTTGGGAGCCGGAAGCAATAATGGGAAATTGCAAAATGGGAGGTCTAATTCAGACCTTTTTCATTACTTGGGTACTGTTTTGCTCCATTAACATTTCCTTCTCTCGGTTTGGCGCCCAAGCAGCTAGCATCAATCCAAATTACAAAGAAGCACTCGCAAAATCGTTGTTGTTCTTTCAAGGACAGAGGTCAGGGAGGCTCCCTCCTTCCCAGCAGATCACTTGGAGGTCTCATTCTGGCCTCTCCGATGGTCGCCTTGCTAATGTAAGAGATGTCCTCCTCCGGCCTATTGTGTACTTCACTTCTTGCATGTAATTTCAATTCCTCGTGGTGACGATCTTGTTGTTTTATGAATAATTAATATATGTCCACATATTTATATACAACATGAAACACACAAGGCCATCGATGATCAGCATTGTTAATTAGTACGTAGATTTGCAAAAACGTGTGCATCACTCTCTTAACTTTGCTTCTTTTCATATACATACCAAAAGCAACCAACCAAGTAATCAGTGTTTTCACATTATAGGTTCTATTTAACTATGCTGAAGAATATTGTATTAGGACTATATATAATTGCCATAATTTAACTTGGTGCAAGAGTGGGCATGCGTAAAACTCTAGGGTCCATGTGGTAATTATGGCTGCCATGCCAAATGTTAATGAATAATAAAATGGAAAAAGGAGAAGATTGTGGGTCTTGGTTTCTTGATCACGGTCCCAACCAAGAAAGGGATAATTTAATTGGTGTCTTTCGGCGGGATTTAATCAAATCTCCTTTCCTTTCTTTTGCATTAATAATATATATAAGAATTTCAAGAAATATATCATACATTTCTTAGGTGAAAATATAAGACACCGACGCGCGTGGTAATTTCATACAAACATAACATTTACTGTAACCAGGCTGTGAGTGTGATGTGGTTTAACCGATGCGGTAATTGAACAGGTAGATTTGAGCGGCGGCTACTACGACGCCGGAGACAACGTGAAGTTCAACCTCCCGATGGCCTTCACCACAACAATGCTGTCCTGGAGCACACTGGAATACGGCAAGAGGCTGGGCCCCCAGCTGCCCAACGCCCGGGCCGCGATCCGCTGGGCCACGGACTACCTCCTCAAATGCGCCACCGCCACCCCGGGCAAGATCTACGTCGGCGTCGGCGACCCCAACGCCGACCACCGCTGCTGGGAGCGGCCGGAGGACATGGACACCGTCCGGTCGGTTTACTCGGTGTCTCCGTCGAACCCGGGGTCCGACGTCGCCGGAGAGATGGCTGCGGCCCTGGCGGCGGCTTCCTTGGTGTTCAGGAGCTCCGACCGGCAGTACGCGGGCTTGTTGCTTAGGACGGCGAGGAAGGTGTTGCAGTTTGCGTTGCAGTATCGTGGTGCTTACAGTGATAGGCTTGGTTCCTCCGTTTGCCCCTTCTATTGCTCCTATTCTGGCTATAAGGTAAATTGGAGATCGATCTATTCTTCTTCCAACATTAATTATATATATGTGATGAGAATTATATCATTGTTCAAAAGAGTAGTACGTGCTCAAGATTATGATGCATTTTATAGAGATTGAGATTGCATTTTATAGAGATGACGATGATGGTCAATAACGTACAAACAACATATTAATTAATAGAGTTAGCTAGGTTAACACGTACGATTAATTCACGAGTTGAATCGGTTTGGTTCTACATTTAATTATTTTCAGGATGAACTACTGTGGGGAGCAGCTTGGCTGTTTAGGGCAACCAATGAGGTCCAGTACTACAACATCATCAAGTCCTTGGGAGCTGATGACCAGCCAGATTTGTTCAGCTGGGATAACAAATATTCTGGTGCTCATGTTCTGCTATCCAGAGTAAGCACCCAAGACAATTATTCAGTACTCGAATTTGGTTGGCTTTTCCCCTGACTTTTGGTAACAATTTTGATCTTTTTATAATGGCGATGATTCAATTGTGGCAGAGAGCATTAGTGAACAATGACAAGAACTTCCAGCAATACAAGCAGGAAGCTGAGAATTTCATGTGCAAGATTCTGCCCAACTCTCCTTACTCAACTACCCAATATACACAAGGTATGTATGTTTGTTGTTTACACACACACGCACAAAAACAAAATTCAAGCCCAATATGTTTCGCTTAATTCACATTGTCGATCGGATATTTATTGTCAATTTCATATATTTTGCTGTTTTATTTTGGAATGCATGCAGGAGGATTGATGTACAAGCTACCACAGGACAATCTTCAATATGTGACATCCATATCATTTCTGCTCACCACTTATGCCAAGTACATGAAATCAACTAAAACTCCTTATACTTTCAATTGCGGGAGCCAAGTCGTGAATGCAAACTCCCTCATTTCCTTGGCAAAACGGCAGGCAAGTCACAATCATTTATCTCTACAAGCAAAAAATATACGATTTGCATTATGTACGCAAAAGTGTGGTGAGACCTATCGTATAATTACAGTTTGCGTCTACGTGCAGGTGGACTACATCCTAGGGGTAAACCCTATTAGAATGTCCTACATGGTTGGCTACGGACCAAACTTTCCGAGGAGGATTCACCACAGAGGGTCCTCGCTACCATCAAAGACGAGCCACCCACAAGCTATAGGTTGCAGTGGCGGGTTCGAGCCTTTCTATTCGTCTTCAAACCCTAATCCCAACATATTGACCGGAGCCATTGTCGGAGGGCCCAATCAAAATGATGGCTTCCCAGATGATCGTTCGGACTACAGCCACTCAGAACCTGCTACGTATATCAATGCTGCCATTGTTGGCCCTCTGGCATATTTTGCAGGGGCCTTGAGGAGCTAGACCAAAAGAGTTGTGTTAGCTAGCTAGTAGCTTCAATGGGAGCTAGTGCCCTAAAATTAAGATCTCAATGTTATGCTGACCCTGAAACTAGGGTCTGTGCCACCCAACAAATAGGGTGAGGCATTTTAGGTGGTTGTGTTCTACTTGTCTTGTTACTACCGCCCAAAGTAGGGTTGTTATGGTTATATACATTTGGTTTAAGTAATTTTACTTTGTAGGTCAATTATCATTCTCTTTTCCTGCCACAACCATAGAATTTATATGTTAAGCTTTGCATTTTGGCTTTTCCTCTTCACCATCTTTAAGGAGACGATTTATAGTTGACTAACAAATGGGGAAGATGTTAAGCATAGCCAGAGAGAACTCGCAAAATTACAAATTCGAGCATTGCGATAGTTAAAATGAGATTGGCAACCTCATATGGTCAATAGTTTAAAATACAACTTGCACTAAGATGATTGTTTGATAGACTAGAATAATGCAGCACATAAAGAAAACATGGCTGAAATTCTAATGAAACATTTATTATGTTATTCCGCTTGAAACATTTATTATGCTTCTGCTTCTCCTAGCTTCGTTTTAGGCTTTTTCCCCTCGGATTGCAATCGGTTTTCTCCCTTTTCCAGCCGTTATGGCCTTCCAGTTTCCTACCTTTATGGCCTTTCAGTTTCCAGCAGATCTGGATTTTCATCTTTCACTCCTGTTGAGCTTTATGCTCTTCGGTCGTTGATTGGGGTTCTTGTTCGGGGCTTGCTCATGTTGGGATCTAGAGTTGGCAGCTTGGGAGCCTAATCGCGCTCTGTTTTGGTGGTTGATGCTCTCGGGCTGGTGGTTTCATCTTTTTGGTGTAGCCATTCCTTACGTCTCCCCTTCCTATTTCCCCTTGCTGTCTGAATGCTGCTTGGCCGTTCATCGGATTGTGGTGGGTAGGGTCTCCTCTAGGTGATTTTGGCTGTTGTCCGGTGTTTCCACAGAGTTTGGCGGGCTCGATTCCGATCTTCTTCTCTCCATGGATTGACCACTCTGCCTCAACTCCCTGTGCCTTTTTCAGCTCGGAGCAATCTGTTTCACATCCTTTCCCATCGCCATGTAATTTCATTTCTGAGATTTACTGTGTTGGATGCCTTTGAGTTTTCCCCAGGAGGCGGCTTATGACATTGCTTTGCTCAATCGTCATGGACTTTGGTGTGATCGGACGAGCTGATCTTGATCTTGTTGCTACTCTGTTTGGTTCGGATGCGTGAGAGGTTTGGAATGTTATCGTTTTGGATCAAGTGTTCGATCCCTTTGGGTGGTTGATTTCACTCGGTGTTTTGCTCTTATTTGATGTATCGCTCAAGCACAGTTTATGTCAACTGTTTGCTCTGAGGTGCCTGGGTTTGGTTTGATTCGATTATTTTTCATTTTCCCTCTCTGTAACCGATCATTCATAGGGCAATGCGAGATGTTTCACTGTAAAAAAAAAGGACAAAGGACCAAAATGTTCAAAATGACTTTTCCTTGGTACCTATCAAACAATTGACTTTATTCTATCCGTTCCGTTTCATTCCAATGGGGCAGCTAATAATAAGAGCGTGCAGAAAGTAGAGAGACCCACCGGCGACGCGGCCGTTGACGAAAATGGACGACGACGACTTACGGACTTAGTGATGATGATATCATCACCACCATCTCCTCTCAAAGTTTGGCTCGCACTCTCTCGAACTCCATTCGACTCACAGCGTTGACGACTACATCGGATTCCGATGGCCTCCATAAGCGCAAGCGGCACTTCGTCGTCGTCTCTTCCGTCGCCGTACTCCCCTCCCCCGCCGCGGTGGACGCACGACGTCTTCCTCAGCTTCCGAGGCCGGGACACTCGATACAGCTTCACCGGGCATCTCCACGCAGCTCTGGTCCAGAAAGGGATCAGAGCTTACAAGGACGACAGAGATCTCGATCGAGGAGAAGCCATCGAGCCCGAACTGTTTAAGGCGATTACGGAGTCAAGGTTTTCGGTCGTCGTGTTCTCGAAGAATTACGCCTCTTCGCCTTGGTGTTTGGATGAGCTGGTCAAGATCGTTCAGTACAAGGCAGCGACGGAGCACACTGTTCTGCCCGTCTTCTACGATGTCGATCCATCGGAAGTTGCGGAGATGGAGGGAGTTTACGCGGCAGCGTTTGCCCAGCACGAAGTCCTGAATCCGGAGAAGGTGGAGAGCTGGAGGAAGTCGGTAGCTGAAGTTGCGCAATTAGCCGGATGGGATGCTCGAAATAGGTATGAATTTTGGGGATGATTATGATTTGAATTGAATGTTGGAAGGTTACGCTTTGAATTGCATGTCTATGAATGGGTTTTTTTTTTGTTTTTTTTTTGAGAGAAATCTCTATGAATGGTTTTGATTGTTCTATTTGAGCAAATCAGTGCTTAATCTCCATCGATCTGCAGTTCTGCACTCTCTAAGAAATGTAGTCTTGTAAGCTCCAGCAGTTAATGGTATTAGGGGTTCTACTTGGTTCATGATATAATCATGTTAGAGCATAACTTGAAATGAATACCTTGTTTTCCTGAATCGTAGTGGCAGTGGTGTACAGTTCAGCAGGTTATATAGAGCTCTGATTCTTTGCAAGGCCCATTGATTTTTGTCTTTCTGTTCTTGTAGGGATGAGTCAGAAGTAATCAAGGAAATTGTTGAAAGACTTTGGTTCAAGTTGAATCATGCGATCCCAATCATGAGCAATGCCTTGGTCGGTATGGATGCCCGGGTAGACAAAATTGTTAATGATTTGTTGGACGAAGAGTCGGTTGAAGTTCGCTTTCTTGGGATATGTGGAATGGGTGGACTGGGGAAGACAACTATTGCCAGAGTTGTTTATGATAAGATCCGTTGGCAGTTCGAAGGCTGTTGTTTCCTTGCGAATGTCAGAGAATCTTTAGAGAAACAAGGACCACTTCCTCTGCAGCAGCGGCTTCTTTCTGAAATCCTAATGCGACGGGGAGGAGAACTGTGGGATGCTGATAAAGCAATAAGCGAGATAAAGTATAATATGCAGCGGAAGAAGGTGCTTCTTGTTCTTGATGATGTTGATCATCTTGAACAGCTTGAAATGTTGGCTGGAGATCATGAATGGTTTGGTCCAGGGAGTCGTGTGATCATAACAAGTCGAGATGGACACTTGTTGACAGCACATGGAGTTGATGAAACATATGAAGCAAAGACATTGAATGGCGATGAAGCTCTTATGCTATTTAGTTGGCATGCCTTCAAACAAGACTGCCCATTTACAGGTTATTCTGAGTTGTCAAATCGAGCTGTGGGTTACGCCAAGGGACTTCCCCTGGCTCTTAAAGTTTTGGGTTCTTTTCTGTATGGGAGGAATGTAAGTGCATGGAACAGTGCAATTGAGAGGCTGAACAAGATTCCAAACAGAAAAATTGTGGATGTACTTGAAATAAGTTTTGACGCTCTAGAGGAAACAGAGAAGAAAATATTCTTGGATATTGCTTGTTTCTTCAAGGGTATAGATAAACATGAAGCAATAAACATACTTGATAGCTGTAGCTTTCATGCAGAGATTGGAATACAAGTTCTGATTGACAAATCCTTGATTAGTGTTTCACAAAATCGTTTGGCAATGCACGATTTGCTGCAACTTATGGGAAGGGAAATTGTTAGACGTGAGTCGCCTGAAGAGCCTGGAAAGCGCAGTAGAATATGGACGTATGAGGATGCATCTCATGTTCTGACAAAAAACTCGGTGAGCACTTAGGTGCAGAGCACTTGCACAATTTTGTTGATGCTTAAGTTTTTTTCCCCCTCTTTCTTTTTGGGTTTGTATGAAAACTAGTGTCATTGTATTTTTATATAGTTTGTCTTGTGATAATACTTATGCTTTTCTTATTTTTGGGTTTTGGGCAATAGGGAGGTGAAGAAGTAGAAGCAATCTTCCTAGACCTTCCTCAACCAAAGGATGCAAACTGGAATGTGGAAGCCTTCGCTAGAATGACGAAACTTAGACTACTCAAAATCCGTAATGTGAAGCTTAGAAAAGGACCTGCATTTCTTTCTAATGAGTTGCGTTACCTTGATTGGCATGGTTACCCCGCAAAATATTTGCCTTCAAGTTTCCATCCAGAAAAACTTGTTCGACTTATTTTGCATCACAGCAAGATAGAACAACTCTGGTTCGGCATCTGGGTAAGCTTTTCCTCTTCCTTCTCTTTCTACTCAGACTGCAGAGTTCTTTGTTTCTTCTGTTGCTGGAACATAAAAGTAATGTCAATATCTGCTGCTTGTTTCCTCTTTTACTTAGGCGTTTAAAGATTTGAAAGTTCTAGAGCTTAGGGGCTCCAGGAACTTCACTAGGATGCCGGACTTCACTGAGATTCCAAATCTGGAGAGGTTAGTGCTGACAGACTGTACAAGGTTGTCTGAGATTCACTCCTCCATTGGGCATCTCAGGAAGCTTACTTCTCTCAGTTTGTTAGGTTGCTCAAAGGTTAGGAAATTGCCAGAAATTGTGGTACCTATGGAATGTTTGGTGAAACTTATATTGGACGAGACTAGCATTGAGAAACTGCCGATCTCAATTCACAATTTAGGCAGCCTAGCTGTATTGAGCCTCAGATTTTGTAAGAACCTCAGAAGTCTTCCAAGCAGCATAACCACTTTAAAATCCCTTAAAAAACTAGATCTCTCAGGCTGCTTAAAACTGAAAAGGTTTCCAGATATAGAGTCTAGTTTTATATCTTTAGAAGAACTCTTCTTAGATCAGACTGGAATTGAAGAACTCCCTTCCACAATTCAACATTTGTCAGGCTTAGTTCTCTTGAGCCTCAGATTTTGTAAGAGCTTCAGTGGCCTCCCTAGCAGTATAAGTCGTTTGAACTCCCTTAGAAGGCTTGATCTATACAACTGCTCAAAGTTAGACACGTTTCCTGATATTTTGGAGATAATGGAAGGCTTACGGGAGCTTTGTTTGGATTGGACTAACATCGAGATTCTGCCACCATCCTTTAACAAGTTGATTGGCTTGGAGTTGTTGAGCATTAAAGGTTGTGGAAACCTTAAAGATATTAGTAGCAGCATCAGCGGTTTGAAGTCCCTGAAGACTCTTGATATCAGATGGTGCTTTGGACCGAATTTCAGAGTGAAACAGCCAAAATCTAAGATATCAAAGATGTTGATCCAGAGCACGCCAAATGCTATGCGGCAATGGATGCAGAAATTCAGATCAGCTCCAAGAGCCATGGCTACCCCCTTGCAAATAGTGTCGCTGCCTTCATTCTCATCTCTCTGTTCATTGAGAAATCTGATTTTAAGCTACTGCAATATTTTGGAGGGAGTAGTTCCAGATGATCTCGGCTGCTTGTCCTCTTTAAGGTACCTGGACCTCAGCGGCAATCTATTCTCAAGCCTGCCAATAAGCATAAACCAACTTCTGATGCTTGAAGAGCTCAACTTGGATGATTGCTGGAAGCTTCAGTCACTGCCTGAAGTTCCTCCAAATGTTTCTCTGGTGAGAGCGAGCCTTTGTGATTCCCTGACAGTAATTGCAGATCCAATAAATTTATGCAGCTGGAAAGCTGCAAAGATCATATGCTTCAATTGCTTCCAATTAGTTATTGGCAATGGTTCTAGCAACATGGCTTTTACAATGATCATAAGATATATTCAGGTATCTTTCTCTCTTCCCTTGTCACCTTTATGTTCTGCAAGTGTATGTTTGATGCAGCTTTTCCAGGAGTTTTTCTTCTTCTTCTTTATACTCTGAAAGCATAAGCGTGCCAGACTTTGGAGCTTGCTGAGCTTTTTAATCATTTGTCTAACTATTTTGGTACAGGGGTTGACAATACCAAGGCCCAGATTCGACATTGTATTTCCTGGAGTCGGAATTCCCAAGTGGTTCAACCATTACAGTGAGGGACACTCCGTAATCCTGGAAGTGCCTCCCAACTTGCACTTGAATACCAAATGGATGGGCTTTGCTGCTTGTGTTGTTTTCAGCGCACTTCCTCAACCTTTGGACGATCAGCATTTTCTCCTGACCTGTCACTTCATCGTCAATGGAAAGCTAGGTTCCTCTTGGCCTTCCATTTCTTTCCAAAGGAAATCTGGTTACGGGGATCACGTCTGGTCGTTCTTTTTCTCCGTTGGCTGCTTGTCGGAGTGGCCTCCTGATGGATTTGATAGCATTGAGTTGTCCTTTGAGATGCACTCTCCTGAGATCAATGTGAAGGAGTGTGGTGCCCGTCTGATATATCGGCGAGACGCTGAACTCCTGTACACTATAAAGGCTAGTGATTTGAGCATCTGGGATCATTCTCCAGTGGAGCCAGCTGCTACAGTTGATTCGTCGGATTTGCTTGCCATTTGAAAGTTTTCATTTCAAGGAAACCCCAGGTTTGGCTTCTATTCTTCAAAGAAAGTTGACTTATAAGGCCTGTTACTAAGTACTACTCTTGAATTTGGTTTAGATTATAGAGGAATACGTGTTCTACAGGACCTTTTGCCAAGTTAAACGATTTCTTGCCTCTTGGCATCTTGTGTAAATATGGACACAACGTAATCACATAAATCTACAGAACTCTCTTTTGTCCAGTCAGTTTATTACGGTTGAATGTGCTTTTTCTATTGCTTCTTTGCTCTTGGCTCGTGCTGTATCTTCTAGGGATTAGCCTAGCAGATAGTTGGGTTCTATATTGTCATTCAGATAGATGTCAGTTACTCCCAAATCACAGTGATTTTAGAGGTAAAAAGGTAGCCATTTCGAGCAACAAACAGTCATTAGAAAGCCAAACATTGCTAATTTTGCCTACAAAATTATATGCTGGTGAATTTGATTAAAAAAAAACAAACACTTCTACTTCTACTTCTGCAGTTCGATGCACTACAAAGACAAAAAGATCATTGCTGGCGTGGATCAAGCACAGCGCCAAGGAAAAGCACAGCCCTCGACACTTCTTCCTGTATCATGAACATGAACGGACGATCGGCCACAAACTTCTCCTCGGGAGGCGGTGGTGGACTGGGTGGCCGGCATCCGAAGCTCATCACAGTAACTGCGGCAGCTTCAGTTCCTTCCTCGTCTACTTCAATGTAAGCCTTCTGATACACCTCATTGACACAAATCCTCTCCGAGTTATGTCCCACCATCTCCGTGAACTCACCGAGCCTCTGAAACGGCAGCTGCAGCCCCAGATCCTTCATTATATCACAAGGATTGAACAGGCTCGTGAACTTCAGCTTCGGGATCCACACCTTCTCGAGCATCGTCTGTTGAAGCTCCAAGTTCTGCATCGGTCCCAAATATGGACAGAACCTGAGCAGCATCTCCTGCAGGCTGATGGTCGTGGGAAGGAAGATGTACATCGCGAACTGCTGCTGCTGCTTCTTGGTCCCGTTCTCGTAGGGGAGCTTCAGGACCTTGAAGCCGTCGAAGGATCCATAGTAGTGGTTTGACATCGGGTTCCTCATGAAGGAAGTCCTGATCTTGGTTCCATCGAAGAGGTAAAAATCTTCCTCCTGCGTCATGACTTTTGCGAATGGCTGAGTCCAGAATCCCTTGAAGTAGATTGCATTCACGAGGATCATAACTAGTTCTTTCCTGATATTGTCAGGCCCAATGATATCTTTTATGTGCCCTTTGGTAGCTCTGTCTGCCCACTGGTTTATCTCCTCTGCAATTCTCAGAGCCTAACAAAATGAACAAACTGATTATTCTCCATCAGGCAAGCTTCTCTATGTCTTCGTAAGGGACTAATCGTTTACATAGTCCTCTGTATCATTCCAGTTTTGTTGGATGTCCTCTAAGGAATAATTCTTTTCGCAGTCCTTATATATTAGAATGAATTATCAACTCTGTTTCTTCTCTAAGAAAAGAAAAGCTTCTGATCTATTATATAATAGACAACTAAACGAAGAACAAAGAGCAAAGCGTGTAAAGTACATGGGTAATCTTACCTGAAGCCGGAAATCGCCGTAAGAGTATTGAGCGCGGTAGACATCCTTGATGACCCTCTCGAAGGAAGGTTTGAGGGGCGATTCATGATCGAACCAAATTGCACTCCCTGCCATCACCGTCGCTTCTCTGCCCCCGGCTGGTTGCTGAGCTGGCTGGCCGGAGAACATACTCGGATAGAAGTACGGCATGCCCGACGGGTTCACAAACTCAGTTGGCGGCGGCGTGGGGAGGTTGGCGCTCTTGTTCTTGTTGTTGTCGTCGTCGGCAGTGGTGAGCGCGGCCATGAAAGACAGAGCTTTGGAATTGAGGTCTTGGACAGATTCGTAGCCGAGGGCGGCGAGCAGTTGGTCGGAGGTTCTGCCGGTGGCCCCGCAGGCCACGATGCAGAGGGAGAAGTGGAGCGACGAAGGGGAAGTCAGGAGGTTACCGGCTGACGGATTCGTCGCCGCCGCCTTGATTTCCCGGAGAATTGCTTCGATTCCGACTCCCACGCAGAAATCCATCTTTCTGTCGAACCACTGATCAGATTCTACTCGAGTGAGAACGGAGTTTCAAAGACGATGGATGGAGATATGATACGTGTTTAGTTTAGCTTGTATTTATTTTATATAGGTTTTGGTAGACCGACGCGTAGCTTAACATTGACGCCTCCCTTTCCGCGCCCACGTAAGGGTTGGTTGATAATCCAACTCGGACTAGGATTAGGGTTTGGGGTTTTGATGTTACTGTATCATGGGCCAACTTTGGTTATTAATTTATTGACAAAAAGCAGTCTACTAGTCCTAAAGAGGAGAAAAATCAACGTTTTCATTCATCAAAATGTTAGAAATCATTCCCAAGAAGTCGCCGTGGCCGCAGTCCAGGTAGTAGAACTCCCACGACGAGACGATGACCCGGTACCCCGCCGCAGTCAGCAGCTTGGTGTTGTTGGGCCCGTTGTTCCACGTCTGGAACACGGTGTGCTCGGGTGAAAAAACAGCCGGGTTGACTTTGACGTCAGGAGCTAGGATGACGTCTTCCCAGTACACGGCGGTCTTGTTGTGGGATGTGATTATGGGGAGCGTCTTGTTGATGAAGGTTTCGAGGATTTGGCTGAGGGTGCCGTTTTGTTGGGAGAGGAAGGATTGGATGGACGGGTCGGCTTTCCAGCAACCCGGGGTGACCTCGTCGGCGCCGCCGTGGAAGAATGGCTCCGGGAACATGGATGCGATGTCGTTTATGACGTTCCCCACGACTTCGTAGGTTTTTGGGTGGAGCGGGTTGAGCTGCCCGGTTCCTGGCTCCGCAGCTAACCGGTCGGCCCATGGGCTGCCGGCCGGCCACCAGAACTTGTCGGCGCAGGTTATTATGTCTGGGTAGGCTCCGGCCCAGGAACCCGTGTGTGCTGCAAGAAATTAACAAGGTAACATTAGTGATTAATTAATTAAAGAGGTTTTGTTTTTGAGCTATATATCTTGTAGCTACTTATTAATCTTTTAATTTGTTGCCAACTTGCTATTTTCACTCTCCCTTGCCCCAACAAAGAAACAACAAAGCAATTAATAAATTGAATTAATATACTAAACAGGTTTAATCAATCATATTTTTGTGAGTCTTGAAGTCAAATTACTCAATTCATAAGAACGATGGATAAATTTTGGATTAATGCATTTGTGAGCTTTCTCTATTAAACTATCATTATTCGATTAATACATTTGGTTAAGAAATGTGAAAGTATGGAATAACACAATTAGATAAAAAAGAGCGGCACTAATTATTATATATATATATTACCGGGAGTGTCGACCTCGGGCACAACCCGGACCCCATGCTCGTACCCGTACTGCACGACCCGACCCACATCCGCAACTGAATACCTCATCCCGCGCCCGTACGCCCCTTTGGCGGCGAGTCCCGGCTCCGACGGCAGCTCCAGGGGGAAGGAATGCGAGTCCGTGATGTGCCAATGGAAGACATTCATCTTGTTATGGCTCATCGCCTTAATCGTCCTCAGGATATCCTCCACCGGATAGAAATTCCTCGACGTGTCCAGCAGAAACCCTCTGTGCCCGAACAGTGGAGCGTCGCGGATCTCCACCCCGACCGGCACGCGCCGCCTGCCCCCCCACACCAGCTGGGAGAAGGTCTCCAGCCCCCGCATGGCCCCCCACACGGTGGCGGCGCTGAGATTTGCGGCGGTTGCGGAGTGATTGGGGATGGAGAGGGTGTAGGACTCGTCGACGCCATGAATGAGCGGGGCGGCGAGGTCGACGACGGAGATGGACAGGGATTGGAGGGGAGTGGGCGATGTGGAGAAGTTGGTGGTGGTGGTGTCGTATATGGGGCGGTGGCGCTCGGAGGAGATGAGGCGGTGGTAGCGGGCGACGGCGGCGGAGAGGTAGTGGTTGGATGGCGATGAGGGTGAATCGAATTGGAAGGTTGGGGAGAGGGTGGCGATCGTGTACGGGGAGGACCAGGATATGGAGGTGGGTTTGGGCCAGACGTTGACCGGCAAGGCTGTGGCTGTGGCTGTGGCTGAAGAATGGATGAGGAGGAGGAGGGCCGTGAGTATCGTGGAGAAGACGTGGCTTGTGGCGATTGGGTGAGAGGTCATGGGAGCCATCTCGCCGGAGAGGTTGTTTACCGGCAATAAAAGAAAAGATTGGTGGGGTAGCAATTAAGCGGGTCTACTGTACGTGCGAGTATTTATATGGGGAAGGTGGGGAATTGTGGCGGCAGAATCAATTGATTGTTAATCGCTAATGACAAATCCAAAGTATGGTGTGGCTGTTTATGGTTGTTGTTTACTTGTTTAGTTGGCTGGCTGGGATGATAATATATATATGTGAGTTTAATGGCCGGACAGCCACTCACAAGGTCTCATAACCTTAGTCGGATTGAAATTTCGTTTTACGAACCCCTTGATATATATACACATTTATTTATTTAAAATGCGGATGGAAAATAGTTGTTAATCGATAATTAGTAGTCGGTTTGCATTTGAGTGCAGTTCACAAAGTTTCTCAATTTAATGAAATGATATCTAGTCCTAAAGATCAACGCCATAATTAAAAGTTCCTTTTTATTGAATTTGGTACTCAAATCTCACCCACTTGGAGTTAATACAATTCATTGTTCGTTCATAAGAAAATAGATGTTAGAGGTGCAAATTTGGTGGGACTAAGTTCCGTGAATTTATTTGTCTTTTTCAATCGCATTTCATTAAATGAGAAAAAATTTCGATTAAAGCATCAATTCGCAATTTACATAATGAATACAATATAAAAATTAACAAATAGTTATAGTTAACCCTTAATATAAATACATGCAACTAATACAATCATCTTATGGTCAATAGAAGTATTCACTTAACAAAATATATTTTTTAATAGTATGAGGTCAATGAATTGTTGTGTTTGTGTGAATTAACCTAGGGGTCGTTTGGATGGATCTATTGCATGAGGCAATTTAACCCAATTGACTCAAAATGAGACTATTGGGTCAAATTATCTCATTTGGCAGCATAAAATAAAAATGGAACATTTTGGACTGGGGGAATTTCAATTGTTCCGTTAGGGTTCAATTAGAAATATCTGGGGTAGGGGTAAGAAATGTGAATTGGCGCGTTTATTGTGGGCCCTTCCAATAATAAAGAAAATTTCCCTTTTATTTCTGCCGAGAACCACTTTCCCCTTTCTCCTTCTTTTTCCCTGTCGATGGTTCTTATTCTCTCTTCTCTTTCTTCTCTCCTTCTCTTTCTTTTATCTGGCGGAAAACGAAAATCTGTCGATTTGCTCTTTGATGGCGAGCAGAGGGAAGATCTGTTCTTCTCTCTCGCGGATGATCTGCTGGAGGAATCCCGGGAGAGTATAGTCGGTAATCAGTTTGCTTCAGTCTTGCTACGAGGGAAGCGATGTCCTGGGCAGAAGAAGAAATCGAACTGCTCTTTCCCTGCGACCAAGCTTCTCTTTCCAACAAAAGAAGAAATCAATTTCGTTGCATGAGGGTTTTGGATTGTTTTTTGGCGTTGAATTCGTTGTGGGTAGGGTTATAGGAGGAGAAGAAGAAATCGATTTTCAATTTTGTTTTGTATCGGTTCAGAGGCCGCATCTCTCATTGGCGAGACAAAGACGTCTCTTCTTGTTATCGTGTTTTATTCCTGATCTCCGTTCTAATCTCTTATTGTCTCTGCCAAAACTTCAAAAGCAACGGCGAGATGGGGATTGCAATCAACAGAAACCAAAGCAAAACACCCCTGTTTCGATTTCGTTTGTTGGTCATGTGAAAGCCCACTTGTACGAAAATCAAAACCATAAGGAAATTGATTGCATGTGAGTGGATATGGTGAACTCGACGGTATATGTATATATTTTTGTAGATGATGAACTCAATAGAAAGAAACCCAGAAATAGATAGAAAAACTTGTATAAGAAAATGATAAAATAGCAATTTTCACAAAATGGCCACTCATATTTCTCTATCTCTCAGATCATGCCAAACGACACATTCTGCACAGATTTCCTCATAAAATTGACTCGTTTTCAAAAATGAGTCTTTTGATCTAAATTGTCTCATTTTGAGAATGGTCCATCCAAACGACCCCCTAGTCTTTTAGCAATTTTCATAGGCCGAAAAGACCTTCCTTTCAAGTTTTCATCCAACATTATGGATGAGTTTTTATCTAAAGTAGGCATCCACATGTTGTGGTCTACACTCTACAAATATATTGTATAGAAACAATATTGAGTTTTATTTTTTATGAGCATAAAAGGATCAAGCGTTTAACTCTTGAGGGGTTATGCAAAGTACTAAGTATGTATATATAATATATATTAGATATATTACTAATTATTTAACTGATTAATTTGGTTTGACTGGTTATGAGTATCTTAAACCAAACCAAACCACATAAACCAAACAACCTAAAAAGTTTAACTAAACCAACCAATTAACCAAATTAACCAAACCAAATTATCCAAATATTATCAGTTAAAATGGTTACCACGATAACTATTCCGTTTAAACACCCCTATTTTCCACTGCTCCACTGCCGGAGGAATAAGAGAGGGGAAGGTAAAGTCAGGGACTGCAATTCCACTTACAATCTAATCTATTTAGACTAGATCAATTCAAATGTTTGTGTATATATATATGTTATTTTAAAGTTTGATTTGAGTTATATATGGATCACTTTGCTCGTCGTTTTTATATTACGGGAAATACACTTGGCCGGAACTTAATTAAGAAAAACAATATGTGACATTGGGACGAGAACGAGGACCCATTAGCCACCAGCCACGGCGACGGCTTTGCATTAAATAATTAATCATTGGGCAAGCGGCTGCCGGCACCGGGCATTGCCATTTGCACTCACCACGATTGTCTCATCTTCACTCCTTTCCAAACTCCGGAGACCAAATACGAAATTATATGATCAACAAAGTCAAAACCTATTATAATTAAGAAACAACGTGTGATACTTGCGTACTTAGCTTCTCCAAATTCAAGCAATTCAACATTGATGTCTCATTGAGCGACGAACGGCTTAACGGTGTTGCACATCCCTGGGTTCCTGAGGCACCACAACGGTTGAATCGGTTCGGCCATAATCCCTCTCCCGACCATCCTATACCTCCACTCGTTCAACCGATCCGTCGCCTCCGCATACCTCTTTATCCCCTTCTCGTCCCGATTCCCGGACCACATCGCCTCCGCCATCGCCGCCGCTCGCGGCCAAACCCTCGCGTCCAGCACCGCCCCGTCCGCCTGCTCCGACCACAATGCCACCTCAGCACCCAACACCCTCCCCTTTTCCACCTCGCTCAACCCATGCGTTATGTCATAGTTGTACACCTTCTGCCACGTCTTGTACGGCCCGCACCACGATCCGCCGTTGCTGTCCACGTCGCTGCTCGTCGGCGGGCGGTCGTACTGGCTGTCGTTCCCCAAGAAGTCGCCGTGGCCGCAGTCCAGGTAGTAGAACTCCCACGACGAGACGATGACCCGGTACCCCGCCGCAGTCAGCAGCTTGGTGTTGTTGGGCCCGTTGTTCCACGTCTGGAACACGGTGTGCTCGGGTGAAAAAACAGCCGGGTTGACTTTGACGTCAGGAGCTAGGATGACGTCTTCCCAGTACACGGCGGTCTTGTTGTGGGATGTGATTATGGGGAGCGTCTTGTTGATGAAGGTTTCGAGGATTTGGCTGAGGGTGCCGTTTTGTTGGGAGAGGAAGGATTGGATGGACGGGTCGGCTTTCCAGCAACCCGGGGTGACCTCGTCGGCGCCGCCGTGGAAGAATGGCTCCGGGAACATGGATGCGATGTCGTTTATGACGTTCCCCACGACTTCGTAGGTTTTTGGGTGGAGCGGGTTGAGCTGCCCGGTTCCTGGCTCCGCAGCTAACCGGTCGGCCCATGGGCTGCCGGCCGGCCACCAGAACTTGTCGGCGCAGGTTATTATGTCTGGGTAGGCTCCGGCCCAGGAACCCGTGTGTGCTGCAAGAAATTAACAAGGTAACATTAGTGATTAATTAATTAAAGAGGTTTTGTTTTTGAGCTATATATCTTGTAGCTACTTATTAATCTTTTAATTTGTTGCCAACTTGCTATTTTCACTCTCCCTTGCCCCAACAAAGAAACAACAAAGCAATTAATAAATTGAATTAATATACTAAACAGGTTTAATCAATCATATTTTTGTGAGTCTTGAAGTCAAATTACTCAATTCATAAGAACGATGGATAAATTTTGGATTAATGCATTTGTGAGCTTTCTCTATTAAACTATCATTATTCGATTAATACATTTGGTTAAGAAATGTGAAAGTATGGAATAACACAATTAGATAAAAAAGAGCGGCACTAATTATTATATATATATATTACCGGGAGTGTCGACCTCGGGCACAACCCGGACCCCATGCTCGTACCCGTACTGCACGACCCGACCCACATCCGCAACTGAATACCTCATCCCGCGCCCGTACGCCCCTTTGGCGGCGAGTCCCGGCTCCGACGGCAGCTCCAGGGGGAAGGAATGCGAGTCCGTGATGTGCCAATGGAAGACATTCATCTTGTTATGGCTCATCGCCTTAATCGTCCTCAGGATATCCTCCACCGGATAGAAATTCCTCGACGTGTCCAGCAGAAACCCTCTGTGCCCGAACAGTGGAGCGTCGCGGATCTCCACCCCGACCGGCACGCGCCGCCTGCCCCCCCACACCAGCTGGGAGAAGGTCTCCAGCCCCCGCATGGCCCCCCACACGGTGGCGGCGCTGAGATTTGCGGCGGTTGCGGAGTGATTGGGGATGGAGAGGGTGTAGGACTCGTCGACGCCATGAATGAGCGGGGCGGCGAGGTCGACGACGGAGATGGACAGGGATTGGAGGGGAGTGGGCGATGTGGAGAAGTTGGTGGTGGTGGTGTCGTATATGGGGCGGTGGCGCTCGGAGGAGATGAGGCGGTGGTAGCGGGCGACGGCGGCGGAGAGGTAGTGGTTGGATGGCGATGAGGGTGAATCGAATTGGAAGGTTGGGGAGAGGGTGGCGATCGTGTACGGGGAGGACCAGGATATGGAGGTGGGTTTGGGCCAGACGTTGACCGGCAAGGCTGTGGCTGTGGCTGTGGCTGAAGAATGGATGAGGAGGAGGAGGGCCGTGAGTATCGTGGAGAAGACGTGGCTTGTGGCGATTGGGTGAGAGGTCATGGGAGCCATCTCGCCGGAGAGGTTGTTTACCGGCAATAAAAGAAAAGATTGGTGGGGTAGCAATTAAGCGGGTCTACTGTACGTGCGAGTATTTATATGGGGAAGGTGGGGAATTGTGGCGGCAGAATCAATTGATTGTTAATCGCTAATGACAAATCCAAAGTATGGTGTGGCTGTTTATGGTTGTTGTTTACTTGTTTAGTTGGCTGGCTGGGATGATAATATATATATGTGAGTTTAATGGCCGGACAGCCACTCACAAGGTCTCATAACCTTAGTCGGATTGAAATTTCGTTTTACGAACCCCTTGATATATATACACATTTATTTATTTAAAATGCGGATGGAAAATAGTTGTTAATCGATAATTAGTAGTCGGTTTGCATTTGAGTGCAGTTCACAAAGTTTCTCAATTTAATGAAATGATATCTAGTCCTAAAGATCAACGCCATAATTAAAAGTTCCTTTTTATTGAATTTGGTACTCAAATCTCACCCACTTGGAGTTAATACAATTCATTGTTCGTTCATAAGAAAATAGATGTTAGAGGTGCAAATTTGGTGGGACTAAGTTCCGTGAATTTATTTGTCTTTTTCAATCGCATTTCATTAAATGAGAAAAAATTTCGATTAAAGCATCAATTCGCAATTTACATAATGAATACAATATAAAAATTAACAAATAGTTATAGTTAACCCTTAATATAAATACATGCAACTAATACAATCATCTTATGGTCAATAGAAGTATTCACTTAACAAAATATATTTTTTAATAGTATGAGGTCAATGAATTGTTGTGTTTGTGTGAATTAACCTAGGGGTCGTTTGGATGGATCTATTGCATGAGGCAATTTAACCCAATTGACTCAAAATGAGACTATTGGGTCAAATTATCTCATTTGGCAGCATAAAATAAAAATGGAACATTTTGGACTGGGGGAATTTCAATTGTTCCGTTAGGGTTCAATTAGAAATATCTGGGGTAGGGGTAAGAAATGTGAATTGGCGCGTTTATTGTGGGCCCTTCCAATAATAAAGAAAATTTCCCTTTTATTTCTGCCGAGAACCACTTTCCCCTTTCTCCTTCTTTTTCCCTGTCGATGGTTCTTATTCTCTCTTCTCTTTCTTCTCTCCTTCTCTTTCTTTTATCTGGCGGAAAACGAAAATCTGTCGATTTGCTCTTTGATGGCGAGCAGAGGGAAGATCTGTTCTTCTCTCTCGCGGATGATCTGCTGGAGGAATCCCGGGAGAGTATAGTCGGTAATCAGTTTGCTTCAGTCTTGCTACGAGGGAAGCGATGTCCTGGGCAGAAGAAGAAATCGAACTGCTCTTTCCCTGCGACCAAGCTTCTCTTTCCAACAAAAGAAGAAATCAATTTCGTTGCATGAGGGTTTTGGATTGTTTTTTGGCGTTGAATTCGTTGTGGGTAGGGTTATAGGAGGAGAAGAAGAAATCGATTTTCAATTTTGTTTTGTATCGGTTCAGAGGCCGCATCTCTCATTGGCGAGACAAAGACGTCTCTTCTTGTTATCGTGTTTTATTCCTGATCTCCGTTCTAATCTCTTATTGTCTCTGCCAAAACTTCAAAAGCAACGGCGAGATGGGGATTGCAATCAACAGAAACCAAAGCAAAACACCCCTGTTTCGATTTCGTTTGTTGGTCATGTGAAAGCCCACTTGTACGAAAATCAAAACCATAAGGAAATTGATTGCATGTGAGTGGATATGGTGAACTCGACGGTATATGTATATATTTTTGTAGATGATGAACTCAATAGAAAGAAACCCAGAAATAGATAGAAAAACTTGTATAAGAAAATGATAAAATAGCAATTTTCACAAAATGGCCACTCATATTTCTCTATCTCTCAGATCATGCCAAACGACACATTCTGCACAGATTTCCTCATAAAATTGACTCGTTTTCAAAAATGAGTCTTTTGATCTAAATTGTCTCATTTTGAGAATGGTCCATCCAAACGACCCCCTAGTCTTTTAGCAATTTTCATAGGCCGAAAAAGACCTTCCTTTCAAGTTTTCATCCAACATTATGGATGAGTTTTTATCTAAAGTAGGCATCCACATGTTGTGGTCTACACTCTACAAATATATTGTATAGAAACAATATTGAGTTTTATTTTTTATGAGCATAAAAGGATCAAGCGTTTAACTCTTGAGGGGTTATGCAAAGTACTAAGTATGTATATATAATATATATTAGATATATTACTAATTATTTAACTGATTAATTTGGTTTGACTGGTTATGAGTATCTTAAACCAAACCAAACCACATAAACCAAACAACCTAAAAAAGTTTAACTAAACCAACCAATTAACCAAATTAACCAAACCAAATTATCCAAATATTATCAGTTAAAATGGTTACCACGATAACTATTCCGTTTAAACACCCCTATTTTCCACTGCTCCACTGCCGGAGGAATAAGAGAGGGGAAGGTAAAGTCAGGGACTGCAATTCCACTTACAATCTAATCTATTTAGACTAGATCAATTCAAATGTTTGTGTATATATATATGTTATTTTAAAGTTTGATTTGAGTTATATATGGATCACTTTGCTCGTCGTTTTTATATTACGGGAAATACACTTGGCCGGAACTTAATTAAGAAAAACAATATGTGACATTGGGACGAGAACGAGGACCCATTAGCCACCAGCCACGGCGACGGCTTTGCATTAAATAATTAATCATTGGGCAAGCGGCTGCCGGCACCGGGCATTGCCATTTGCACTCACCACGATTGTCTCATCTTCACTCCTTTCCAAACTCCGGAGACCAAATACGAAATTATATGATCAACAAAGTCAAAACCTATTATAATTAAGAAACAACGTGTGATACTTGCGTACTTAGCTTCTCCAAATTCAAGCAATTCAACATTGATGTCTCATTGAGCGACGAACGGCTTAACGGTGTTGCACATCCCTGGGTTCCTGAGGCACCACAACGGTTGAATCGGTTCGGCCATAATCCCTCTCCCGACCATCCTATACCTCCACTCGTTCAACCGATCCGTCGCCTCCGCATACCTCTTTATCCCCTTCTCGTCCCGATTCCCGGACCACATCGCCTCCGCCATCGCCGCCGCTCGCGGCCAAACCCTCGCGTCCAGCACCGCCCCGTCCGCCTGCTCCGACCACAATGCCACCTCAGCACCCAACACCCTCCCCTTTTCCACCTCGCTCAACCCATGCGTTATGTCATAGTTGTACACCTTCTGCCACGTCTTGTACGGCCCGCACCACGATCCGCCGTTGCTGTCCACGTCGCTGCTCGTCGGCGGGCGGTCGTACTGGCTGTCGTTCCCCAAGAAGTCGCCGTGGCCGCAGTCCAGGTAGTAGAACTCCCACGACGAGACGATGACCCGGTACCCCGCCGCAGTCAGCAGCTTGGTGTTGTTGGGCCCGTTGTTCCACGTCTGGAACACGGTGTGCTCGGGTGAAAAAACAGCCGGGTTGACTTTGACGTCAGGAGCTAGGATGACGTCTTCCCAGTACACGGCGGTCTTGTTGTGGGATGTGATTATGGGGAGCGTCTTGTTGATGAAGGTTTCGAGGATTTGGCTGAGGGTGCCGTTTTGTTGGGAGAGGAAGGATTGGATGGACGGGTCGGCTTTCCAGCAACCCGGGGTGACCTCGTCGGCGCCGCCGTGGAAGAATGGCTCCGGGAACATGGATGCGATGTCGTTTATGACGTTCCCCACGACTTCGTAGGTTTTTGGGTGGAGCGGGTTGAGCTGCCCGGTTCCTGGCTCCGCAGCTAACCGGTCGGCCCATGGGCTGCCGGCCGGCCACCAGAACTTGTCGGCGCAGGTTATTATGTCTGGGTAGGCTCCGGCCCAGGAACCCGTGTGTGCTGCAAGAAATTAACAAGGTAACATTAGTGATTAATTAATTAAAGAGGTTTTGTTTTGAGCTATATATCTTGTAGCTACTTATTAATCTTTTAATTTGTTGCCAACTTGCTATTTTCACTCTCCCTTGCCCCAACAAAGAAACAACAAAGCAATTAATAAATTGAATTAATATACTAAACAGGTTTAATCAATCATATTTTTGTGAGTCTTGAAGTCAAATTACTCAATTCATAAGAACGATGGATAAATTTTGGATTAATGCATTTGTGAGCTTTCTCTATTAAACTATCATTATTCGATTAATACATTTGGTTAAGAAATGTGAAAGTATGGAATAACACAATTAGATAAAAAAGAGCGGCACTAATTATTATATATATATATTACCGGGAGTGTCGACCTCGGGCACAACCCGGACCCCATGCTCGTACCCGTACTGCACGACCCGACCCACATCCGCAACTGAATACCTCATCCCGCGCCCGTACGCCCCTTTGGCGGCGAGTCCCGGCTCCGACGGCAGCTCCAGGGGGAAGGAATGCGAGTCCGTGATGTGCCAATGGAAGACATTCATCTTGTTATGGCTCATCGCCTTAATCGTCCTCAGGATATCCTCCACCGGATAGAAATTCCTCGACGTGTCCAGCAGAAACCCTCTGTGCCCGAACAGTGGAGCGTCGCGGATCTCCACCCCGACCGGCACGCGCCGCCTGCCCCCCCACACCAGCTGGGAGAAGGTCTCCAGCCCCCGCATGGCCCCCCACACGGTGGCGGCGCTGAGATTTGCGGCGGTTGCGGAGTGATTGGGGATGGAGAGGGTGTAGGACTCGTCGACGCCATGAATGAGCGGGGCGGCGAGGTCGACGACGGAGATGGACAGGGATTGGAGGGGAGTGGGCGATGTGGAGAAGTTGGTGGTGGTGGTGTCGTATATGGGGCGGTGGCGCTCGGAGGAGATGAGGCGGTGGTAGCGGGCGACGGCGGCGGAGAGGTAGTGGTTGGATGGCGATGAGGGTGAATCGAATTGGAAGGTTGGGGAGAGGGTGGCGATCGTGTACGGGGAGGACCAGGATATGGAGGTGGGTTTGGGCCAGACGTTGACCGGCAAGGCTGTGGCTGTGGCTGTGGCTGAAGAATGGATGAGGAGGAGGAGGGCCGTGAGTATCGTGGAGAAGACGTGGCTTGTGGCGATTGGGTGAGAGGTCATGGGAGCCATCTCGCCGGAGAGGTTGTTTACCGGCAATAAAAGAAAAGATTGGTGGGGTAGCAATTAAGCGGGTCTACTGTACGTGCGAGTATTTATATGGGGAAGGTGGGGAATTGTGGCGGCAGAATCAATTGATTGTTAATCGCTAATGACAAATCCAAAGTATGGTGTGGCTGTTTATGGTTGTTGTTTACTTGTTTAGTTGGCTGGCTGGGATGATAATATATATATGTGAGTTTAATGGCCGGACAGCCACTCACAAGGTCTCATAACCTTAGTCGGATTGAAATTTCGTTTTACGAACCCCTTGATATATATACACATTTATTTATTTAAAATGCGGATGGAAAATAGTTGTTAATCGATAATTAGTAGTCGGTTTGCATTTGAGTGCAGTTCACAAAGTTTCTCAATTTAATGAAATGATATCTAGTCCTAAAGATCAACGCCATAATTAAAAGTTCCTTTTTATTGAATTTGGTACTCAAATCTCACCCACTTGGAGTTAATACAATTCATTGTTCGTTCATAAGAAAATAGATGTTAGAGGTGCAAATTTGGTGGGACTAAGTTCCGTGAATTTATTTGTCTTTTTCAATCGCATTTCATTAAATGAGAAAAAATTTCGATTAAAGCATCAATTCGCAATTTACATAATGAATACAATATAAAAATTAACAAATAGTTATAGTTAACCCTTAATATAAATACATGCAACTAATACAATCATCTTATGGTCAATAGAAGTATTCACTTAACAAAATATATTTTTTAATAGTATGAGGTCAATGAATTGTTGTGTTTGTGTGAATTAACCTAGGGGTCGTTTGGATGGATCTATTGCATGAGGCAATTTAACCCAATTGACTCAAAATGAGACTATTGGGTCAAATTATCTCATTTGGCAGCATAAAATAAAAATGGAACATTTTGGACTGGGGGAATTTCAATTGTTCCGTTAGGGTTCAATTAGAAATATCTGGGGTAGGGGTAAGAAATGTGAATTGGCGCGTTTATTGTGGGCCCTTCCAATAATAAAGAAAATTTCCCTTTTATTTCTGCCGAGAACCACTTTCCCCTTTCTCCTTCTTTTTCCCTGTCGATGGTTCTTATTCTCTCTTCTCTTTCTTCTCTCCTTCTCTTTCTTTTATCTGGCGGAAAACGAAAATCTGTCGATTTGCTCTTTGATGGCGAGCAGAGGGAAGATCTGTTCTTCTCTCTCGCGGATGATCTGCTGGAGGAATCCCGGGAGAGTATAGTCGGTAATCAGTTTGCTTCAGTCTTGCTACGAGGGAAGCGATGTCCTGGGCAGAAGAAGAAATCGAACTGCTCTTTCCCTGCGACCAAGCTTCTCTTTCCAACAAAAGAAGAAATCAATTTCGTTGCATGAGGGTTTTGGATTGTTTTTTGGCGTTGAATTCGTTGTGGGTAGGGTTATAGGAGGAGAAGAAGAAATCGATTTTCAATTTTGTTTTGTATCGGTTCAGAGGCCGCATCTCTCATTGGCGAGACAAAGACGTCTCTTCTTGTTATCGTGTTTTATTCCTGATCTCCGTTCTAATCTCTTATTGTCTCTGCCAAAACTTCAAAAGCAACGGCGAGATGGGGATTGCAATCAACAGAAACCAAAGCAAAACACCCCTGTTTCGATTTCGTTTGTTGGTCATGTGAAAGCCCACTTGTACGAAAATCAAAACCATAAGGAAATTGATTGCATGTGAGTGGATATGGTGAACTCGACGGTATATGTATATATTTTTGTAGATGATGAACTCAATAGAAAGAAACCCAGAAATAGATAGAAAAACTTGTATAAGAAAATGATAAAATAGCAATTTTCACAAAATGGCCACTCATATTTCTCTATCTCTCAGATCATGCCAAACGACACATTCTGCACAGATTTCCTCATAAAATTGACTCGTTTTCAAAAATGAGTCTTTTGATCTAAATTGTCTCATTTTGAGAATGGTCCATCCAAACGACCCCCTAGTCTTTTAGCAATTTTCATAGGCCGAAAAGACCTTCCTTTCAAGTTTTCATCCAACATTATGGATGAGTTTTTATCTAAAGTAGGCATCCACATGTTGTGGTCTACACTCTACAAATATATTGTATAGAAACAATATTGAGTTTTATTTTTTATGAGCATAAAAGGATCAAGCGTTTAACTCTTGAGGGGTTATGCAAAGTACTAAGTATGTATATATAATATATATTAGATATATTACTAATTATTTAACTGATTAATTTGGTTTGACTGGTTATGAGTATCTTAAACCAAACCAAACCACATAAACCAAACAACCTAAAAAGTTTAACTAAACCAACCAATTAACCAAATTAACCAAACCAAATTATCCAAATATTATCAGTTAAAATGGTTACCACGATAACTATTCCGTTTAAACACCCCTATTTTCCACTGCTCCACTGCCGGAGGAATAAGAGAGGGGAAGGTAAAGTCAGGGACTGCAATTCCACTTACAATCTAATCTATTTAGACTAGATCAATTCAAATGTTTGTGTATATATATATGTTATTTTAAAGTTTGATTTGAGTTATATATGGATCACTTTGCTCGTCGTTTTTATATTACGGGAAATACACTTGGCCGGAACTTAATTAAGAAAAACAATATGTGACATTGGGACGAGAACGAGGACCCATTAGCCACCAGCCACGGCGACGGCTTTGCATTAAATAATTAATCATTGGGCAAGCGGCTGCCGGCACCGGGCATTGCCATTTGCACTCACCACGATTGTCTCATCTTCACTCCTTTCCAAACTCCGGAGACCAAATACGAAATTATATGATCAACAAAGTCAAAACCTATTATAATTAAGAAACAACGTGTGATACTTGCGTACTTAGCTTCTCCAAAGCAAGCAATTCACCGGCCAAGCGAGAGATTAAAATTCTTAAATTGACAAGTATATATATGTGTTTTCCGGCCGGCAAGGAAAATCTTGTGCTTGATATTAATGTTGTGCACCTTAACTTCTTGAACAATAACACATACACGGTTTAGTACTCTCTTTCGAATAATGTTAGAACGAGAGTGTTTGGGAGACTAGCTACGTTAAATATCTTAACGTAGCTATTGTATTCGTGTAAACTAAATCTTTTTTTTTTTTTGTGACGGCTAGAGCTACTATAGCAGACTTGGCATGTCATATAGTAAGGATCTCACATCACATGCATGCATTGACGTATGGGCCTAGCTAGGTAGGTAGGATTATGATAAGTGGGTGCACATTTTTGGGTGGGCTAGACATGATAACTAGCTAGATTGGGCTAAGCCTAAGATGTGAGAGAGAGACGGAATGGCAGATCCAGATCGAGAGTTATTATTGGACCCAAAACCTGCAAATCAACCCCATCAAATAGAATCATCGTTCTCGTTCATAATCATACATACCAAGAAAAGAATCCGTTGGTGCCTTGTTTCTTTCTTGGGATCGGTTAGCATGACTACCCCTTTAGAGGGGTTTGATTTTTGACACCCATCTTAGTAGTCGTTGATGTCCATTAGTAGTAATCCAATGGTGAGAAAATTAAAGATGATAATTAGGTATTAATTACATATTTTAGTTGTCTGACCCATATTAATTAGGGAAACTGGGACGGTAATCGAGGGCATTAATGTGCCTTTTGGTTTCCCTGTCAATTCAAAAGTAGTAAGAATTTTCTCTCCCCCTTTTATCTTTCCTAGACATCTCTTCCTCTCTCCCTGGGATCGCCTGGTGGGTTGCTCGTCGGAGGAGGAAGACACGCAGGGGATATCCCTGCCGCCCTTACAACAGGTCCAACCATACATGTTGTCGGCCGTCGGCCATCCTCCGTCTACCATCCCAAACATCGGGCAGCGTCGCGTCGCAGTGGGATCGCCTCCGACCCGCCTGGTGGTTTGCTCGTCGGAGGAGGAAGACACGCAGGGATATCCCCGACGCCCTTACAACAGGTCCAACCATCCATGTTGTCGGCCGTCGGCCATCCTCCGTCTTCCATCCCAAACATCACCTTCCAACGACTTCCTCTTATCCACGACATGCACTTGATCTTTTCCTGTTGACCACCGTCCTTCCACGGTAGAGATTCGATCAACCCTAAGTGGCGGCGACAGGATCTGAAGGTGAGGGTGGTACCACTAGGCGGCAGAGGAAACGCACCAGTGGACTGGTACATGTACCAGTGGAATGGTACGTGTACTAGTGGAGTGGTACGTGTACCAGTGGAGTGATACGTGTACCAGTGGAGTGATACTAGTAACCATATGTCCTGTTTAGGCTTAAAAAAATTGTGAAGACTTTATGTTTATTCACATTCGAAGGATAATTTATTGCTTTTGGCATTGTTGTTGGCATTTCCCTGATTTTGCAACCCATTTTGGAACACAGTTTTTGCCTACTAATGGAAAGTTCCTATTTTGTTGACTGATTGAAATGTTTATTGTGTTGCTTGTGCCAGAATTATATTTCATGATCAAGTAAGTATGAGTATTGGTTTATTGAGGACAGTCTTAATTAGTACCAGTTCAGTGGTATAAGTACCAGTATAGGGGTATAAGTACCAGTTAATTGATATGTATACCAGTATAGTGGTATAGTACAAGTTCAGTGGTATATTGTATCACTGAAGTAGTATGATTACCGCTGAAGTTGTGCGAAGACCATTTCTAAGTCAGTACTCGTCGGCAAAGATATTTCCATGACATTGAAAGAAGTTAACCAATAATTACGACAAAAGAAAAATAATAAAATCAATTCCAAACTTCAAAAGCGGTTGAGACCACAATATTTCCATGACGATGTATTTCTTAGTTGAGGTAGCTGAGGTAGCAAAATCAGGGAAATGCCAACAACAATGCCAAAAGCAATAAATTATCCTTCGAATGTGAACAAACATAAAGTCTTCACAATTTTTTTAAGCCTAAACAGGACATATGGTTACACGTATCACTCCACTGGTACACGTACCACTCCACTGGTACACG